TAATCCGTTAAGTACTATTTACGAGTCATGATACTAAAATAACATAATAAAAAGTAAATAAAACAAATCATAAAGTTCAATTCTTAACTAATTCAATATTAAATGATGAAATTAAAAAAAATTAAATAAGAAAAAAAAACTTAGTTTATCAAGTTAACTTGTCAAATCCATAATTCGTATTATAAAAATAAAAAAAACTTAATAAAAAATAAGTTAAAAATTTAAAAATAAAATTTTAAAAAACAAAAAAATTTTTTTACATTGCTGCACCAAAACACTAGAAGAAAATATTAATAATTGCTAGAGTACTTCCCCCGCTTGTTTCAGTGTATTGTTAATGTTAATAATTAATAATAATGTTAACAAGATAACTCCCCCCCGCCGTGGCACTTAACCATTTAATTGTTAATGTTAATAATTAATAATAATGTTATCAAGATAACTCCCCCCCGCCGTGGCATTTAGCCATTTAACATTATGACAAATTGTGAGCGTTGCTCTCGGAGAGGCTCTCGAAATGTGTACAGAGCCCTAGTGAATCCACCCAGCTGGCATCAGGAGACAAGAGGCGATGCGTCGAACAAATCGGGAGGAGGACGATATCCAAAACCATGTGATGAAGAAATAAATAAGCCTTTGTTTATTAAAGTGATAGCTGAGAAGGCTATCCTATCATATGCCCAAATGGGCCAGGGTAGGGCTGACCAGAGGGCATGGAATGATGACTGATGAGCGATGACAGTGGCCAATCCTATCGCTCTAAAAGAATGAGTTTGCTTCTACCAATCCTGTCCCCACTGGTAAAGCAATAAAAAAGCCTGTGAAACACGAGTTGGTACCCTCCTATAGTCCTACATCACGGGCCAGGCTGTGACGGCGACTGCTAAGTGCTGCCAAAAGTTCATCCTTCATAGCCTATTCCATTAGAAGTTCCTAATTATTAATCAATACTCTAAAACGTGTAAGAAAAACACTGTCGTTTTTTCTATATTTATATTTATATATTATAATTATAATAATATAATATAATAATAATAATGTATACTTAAATATTTTGAGCTATTTTTTTTGTTTTTTATGTCTTTATAGGTTTTTTTATGTTTTTTATTTTAATATTTTTTTAATTTAATTTATTAATATTAATTTTTTTTAACGAGTTAATATATTATGACGGATTAATCCAGATTTTTTTAATTATTTTTTATTTAATTTGATTTGTTAACGTTAAATTTATTTCTATTTAATTATAAAACTTTCATGATACGTATCTCGGACTTGACTGGTTAACATGATTTGATGTTTTAACCCAGTTAACCGGTCAATTTGTTTTTTTATTTAGTTATCAAACTTTTATAACGTAAATTCCAGATTTGACGGATTAACCTGATTTGAAGGGTTAACCCCAATTAATTCAGATTTTTTAGTCACACCCACATCCAATGCTATTGTGTTTGGTGTAATGGCCAAATTCACTTAAACTTAGGTCACATAAATTTAATATTATTATTAATATTATTTTTGGATCAAGTATTGCAATTAAACTGAAGACTCTTGAATATAGTCTTACTTAAAGATCTAATACCTTTAGATCTTAGTTTTTTTGTTTTGTTTTCTTATATAAAAAATTAACCTGTGGTATCGCGCGAGTCATATAACTAGTTTACATTTAACTGGTGTAACTCTGGTTGGTTTTAAAGTATTTTTATTTAAAAATATATTAAAATATTTTCTTATTTTTAAAAAATTATTTTATATATCATTACATCAAAAAAATTATAAAAATAATTTAAAATAATTATTTTTTAAAAATATTTTTAAACACAAAAATAAAAAAGGATTTCATTAAAAACAAACTTCACATCTGTTTTTTATTTTTTTCTAGAAATCTTGGCAACTCTTATTATCACATTCACTTATCCACTGAACAACTATTTATATTTTTGATGTGATTGTAATATCCATTCAATTTCCATGAGTTTATATTCAATTCAATGCAATTATAGTTGGGAAGGTCATCAATGCCCAAGGAAGAAATTTGGACTCGCTATCATAGATGATCATCTAAGTCCAGTTCCTTGTTCGTGCTGGAAAAGACACGAAGCTATGAAGGAAAAGAAATACAAAGCTTTACAATGCCAAATGAGAGGTATTTTTAAGAAAAATCTATCTTTTTAGTTATTATTATTTTCTATCTAGTATAGAAAATATTTTATTTTATGATGATTTTTTTTCTATTTAATTTAGAAAATCAAGTAGTGAGATTAATAATTATATTTTCCTAGTTTTTTAGAATTTTTATTATTTTTCCTTTTATTTTTGGATTTCCTAGCTTATTTAGGATGATTTATAGGCTTATTTAGAAAAATCATAAACCTCTTAAAAAGACAGATGATAATTATCCTATTGCTTACGCTTTTATTTATGTGAGTTGTTGTCAAAGCTCAAAGATCCCAAGTTACCGCTTGTTGTGCACTGCAATTTCATGGCTACTTGTTTGCTTTTTTATGTGCCACCAATAACCATAGTATGAAGAGTTCGCAAAACAAGCGTGGTCAAGGAGAGGATGGAGAAGTTTCCCCTTACAATAAAAGTGTTCAGGAGCTCGTGATAAATAACATGCAGAGCCAGATCACAGGGTTAACTTATTTGTTAGGATATATAGATCTACAAGAATAGAGTTAGGAAGAGAGTGACCAAGGGTCCCGTAGGCAGTATTGTAAACTCATTCCAAAGGCAATAATACAAGAGACAACCTCTTAATCAGGAAAAAAAAAAGACTAAAGATTTTGGATTTCATATTAAAATCCCTAAATTTACAAAAGCGTTACAAGCAAATGAGTTCATCAATTAGTTGAATGAAGTTAAACAAATTTTGTTAGTATAAAAAGGTTATATATGATGGTTAAATTGATTGTAATTGTATTGGATAGTTGGGCTTCTATTTAGTGAAAACATTTAAAAAGGTCATGAAAGAGGAAGGAGAAGTTGAGAATCAGTATCTGGGACAGGATGAAGTAGAAAATAAAGGATCACTTCCTTTATTTTAGTTATACATGAAACTTATACCAGCCCTCCATATGTTGAGACAATAAGGTAAATATATCAATGATTATAATAATAAGTTTTATTAATCAGTGGTTATGTATGACTTGATATAACAAAAAAACAGTTGGTGATGAGATATCTGAGTGGCTTATGATGATCTATTTAGGATGTGTTGTGCTTGTAGTCTTTATAGATAATTTTGAAAGCATATCAAAGGATTAAAATAGTTAAGAAATAATAAGATGTCAAGGTAGTTAGCAGGAGTTTTTAGACAAATCAATACAACAAAAGAGGACTTAACAGTAATCAAAGGCCAGCCACCTTCTAAGCCATGTATACTCGATAAATTTGGCAAATAATAGTTCATAATACAGATTTAATTATATGAATTCATTATTGCAAATATAATGAACTAGGACATCAAGTTAATTAGTGTAGAAAATCAAAAAAGTTATCAAGGAAATAATCTATTGATAAATGAGCACGAGGATGACATGGTTGATCATGTTTATGATGATTTGAATAATAGTGAAGAGATTATGTGTGGAGATAGTGGTGTTAACAGAGTTTTCTAAAAGAGCTTGTTGACTCTTAAAGGTGATTTAAAAGAAGATTGACAATGCATTAATATATTTCGTTCGACGTGCGCCATAAATGATAAGGTTTGCAAATTAATAATAGATAGTGGTAGTTATGAGAATATGATATCCAAGAAAGCATTAGAGAAGCTCTACCTAAAAACTAAGAGTAGTTATGAGTTCTACAGGTTAACTTTGATGAATAATGACATCGAAATTATTGTGGATAAACTTTATCCTAATTTGTTTTTTACAGGCAAGATATATTTTGATAATGTTTGTTGTGATGTAGTATTTATGGATATGTGTCATCTACTGCTAGGTTGGCCATGATAATATGATATGAATGCCGTACATGACGAACGACATAATACAAATGCCCTTAGTATTAAATGTAGATAAATGGTGATTGTTAAAAGCAATGGTGAAAATATGTTGTTTCTACATAAATTATGGAAAAGAAAAATAAAGAGATGAAAAAAAATGAGAAGGACAAGAAGGTGGAGTCTGAATAATGTGAGTAAAGATAAAATATGGAACACGTCATTAACAATCAATGATGATTCTATCAAAATTAAAAATGTTCTTGGAATTGATTTTTGATCTACGTTATCTAAGTTGGTGTGGAACAAGTTAAGAGAGTGTGAAGATACTAATACTATTTAAGTGGTTGACAACAATGATAACATGATGGTTAAGACTCGAGAATAATTGTTTTCAACACAAGGAGACTTATGCATGAGAATTTTTAGAAAAAATATTTTTTTTAGTTATTTTTATTTTCTATTTAGTTTTGAAAAATATTTTTTATATAGTTTACATTGATATTAATAATTTTATTTTCTTAGTTTATTTAAAATTTTTAGTACTTTTGTTTTATATTTAAATTTATTAGTTTGTTTAGGATGATTTTCAGACTTATATAAAGAGTAATGGTTTTTTTAACAATAAATCTTCTAATTAAATTTCTTGTGTTCTATTATATTTTGATCAATTTTTTTCTTTGGTATTATCCTGTTATTACTTGTTATTTTCTTAGTTTATTTAAGATTTTTATTACTTTTGTTTTATTTTTAGATTCGCTAGTTTGTTTAGGATGATTTTCAGACTTATCTAAAGAGTAAAGGTTTTCTTTTACAGTAAATCTTCTAATTACTTGTGTTCTATTGTATTTCGATCAATTTTTTTTCTTTGGTATTATCCTATTATTGCTTGTGCTTCTAGGACACACCTTCTCGTGTACAAATGCATAACTACATTCCCATGGTAACAAGAACCCCCCAAGTTTCCAAACAGACACAAATTCCATTCAACTCTACTGTTGTGGTTTTGATTTGTTTGCTCACACTGGAATATCTCTCTTCCCTTTTCACGACACTTCTTTTTTTCCTTTCTTTTAGATTTGCTCGGATCAATTTTAGCCAGCTATCCTTGTGGTCTGGGGACACTCTATTTTAAAGTTAATTCAAATTTGCATTTTTCGAATAAAATATTAAACTCCTTTTCATGTAGGAAGCAGTCGGTCATTATATAAAGCTAGCAAAAGAGAGAGAGAGTTGAGTGGTGTGGACGGTGGAGGCAGCGGGAGGGCTATAGTGAAATGGTGGATAGTGTTAGTAGAGTAGCAGACCAGAGAAGCCTCATATCATAAGCTTATGTTTTAAATCTCTGTTTCTGCACACATTTTCTCTTACTTTTTTTCAAACTTTCCCTCCACAAAAGGAAATGGGAACTAGTTCAGTTTCCAAGTTCTTAACCCTCTTCTTGATGGTCTTGATTGTTGGTTCTAAGCTGATCCATTGCACTGTGACCTATGATAAGAAGGCTATTATCATCGATGGACATAGGAGAATCCTTATCTCTGGCTCCATTCACTATCCAAGAAGCACCCCAGATGTATACACTTTTCTTTCCCATTTTCTTGGTTTTGTGTCTATGTTATCACATTTTGTCTGTTGTGTAAAAAATGGGGTTTGTTTTGTTCTGTAGATGTGGGAAGATCTTGTACGGAAGGCAAAACATGGAGGCTTGGATGTTATCGACACTTATGTTTTTTGGAATGTTCATGAGCCTTCTCCTGGCAATGTACTCTCTCTTGGATCTCCACTCTACTTTTTGGCACTTGAAATTTTATAATCCATGTCTTTCTGAGCTTACGTGGTTACTCAAAAAGGAAACTTTTTGGTTTTTGCAGTATAATTTTGAAGGTAGATTTGATCTGGTACGGTTCATTAAGACAGTGCAGAAAGAGGGGCTATATGTTCATCTCCGCATTGGACCTTATGTCTGTGCAGAATGGAATTTTGGGTACTTGGAATTTTTGCTCTTTTATATGCTTGTTCTTTTAACTTCTGTTCCATCCATTCATGATTATATCCCTTCTTCGTTTTGGTTTTGCTTTTTTAATTCTTTCTGTGGTTGGGATGGTATTTGCTTATTAACCTGGTAAAAATGAATGCTTTGGTTTGATTCCATTCTCTCTCTCTCTTGTAAATGCATAGGGGATTTCCTGTTTGGTTGAAGTATGTTCCTGGTATCAGCTTCAGAACAGACAATGGGCCTTTCAAGGTTTTTCATATTTTACATGCCCTGCGTTTTTTAAACCCTTTCCTCAAGAAAAAGAAAGAGAATTAAAACAATTAATTGGAAAAGTTAGGTGGTTAATGTGGCTTGACTTTCTTTCCCTTTGGTTTTGAAGGCTGCAATGCAAGGATTCACCCAGAAGATTGTGCAGATGATGAAAGATGAAAGGCTATTTCAATCACAAGGAGGCCCTATCATCTTCTCTCAAGTAAGTGATCTTATCGGTGAATTTTGTCATTTTAGATATTTATTGTTTCTAAACCAGTAAAAGTGAGGCTTCAGCTGTGAAGTAATTTGCTTTTCTTTTATATATATACACATGTTTTATTCTTTTCATATCCATTTGTGTAGATTGAGAATGAGTATGGACCAGAGAGCAGGGCTTTTGGGGCTGCTGGTCATTCATACATTAATTGGGCTGCACAAATGGCTGTTGGATTGAATACTGGAGTTCCTTGGGTAATGTGCAAGGAAGATGATGCCCCAGACCCGGTGGTGAGCTATCTTAATCTTTCCACTTACCAAGCCTAGTTACCTCAACTGTCCCATAATTAATTTGTGAGCTGCATTTACTATTTTTGTTACCTGCAGTTTCCAATTTAAATTCTTTCTTGAATGGTGAATTTGACTTTGTTATGTTTGAATCCTGGCAATAGATAAATACATGCAATGGTTTTTACTGTGATGCTTTTTCTCCCAACAAACCTTACAAGCCAACGATGTGGACTGAGGCTTGGAGTGGCTGGTAAATGTTACAGCAAGCAGTAGAGTTGAAGTTCACTTTCTGAGTGCAAATTTAGTCCTCTGATCCCCCCCTTTTTTTTCTGAACTGAATAAAAAGGTTCACAGAGTTTGGCGGCGCATTTCACCACAGACCAGTTCAAGATTTGGCATTTGCAGTTGCTCGATTCATTCAAAAGGGTGGCTCATTTGTTAACTACTACATGGTAGGGAACCTCGAATGACTCAGCTCACAATTTAATAAGAAACTTGTCGTTCCAAGCTTATGGCCTATGCATTGTGTATTGTTACAGTACCATGGAGGAACAAATTTTGGACGCTCTGCTGGAGGTCCATTCATTACAACTAGTTATGACTATGATGCACCAATAGATGAATATGGTAAGTTCTGTGGATTTGTTCTTGTCCTAACAAAAAATATCTTGACTCTTTAAGTGAAAAACTACAATTTAGTCATGCCTAGCCACAACTTTTAAATGACAATTCACAAATAATTGAAAAATTATTCATGAATTAGGCTAGTTAAGTTCTAGACTTTCTTGAAATAATTTTCAACTCCTAACATGAATATTATTTCCGAAACTCAAACTCAGTGCTGACTTTTCTTCCACTTTTCACAATAATTTTAAGGAATGTGTTGCGTTTTGTTATATCATTATATGTGTTTCAAAATTAAAGATCCGCAGCTAACCATTTATTGGTTTAGGTTTGATCAGGGAACCTAAATATGGTCATCTAAAAGAGCTTCACAGAGCTATTAAGCTATGCGAGCATGAATTAGTCTCTTCAGATCCCACAATTACTTTGTTAGGAACCTATCAGCAGGTCTTCCTTCTGACCAAATTTGTCTCTTTCCCCCAGCTGGACAGTGATTATGTGAAGCTTGCTATTGAAAATTCATGATAATGGTCGTTTTGCAGGCTCATGTATTCTCTTCAGGGAAGAGGAGCTGTGCAGCTTTTCTTGCCAACTATCACACAAAGTCTGCTGCTAGAGTGATGTTCAATAACATGCATTATGTTTTGCCTCCTTGGTCCATTAGCATCCTTCCTGATTGCAGGAATGTTGTGTTTAACACTGCCAAGGTAAGCAAAGTTTAGGTTCTATTTGCAATCTCGTTCAAGTATGAAATAACCTCCTTCAGTGATCCGGAAATTATTTTCTTCAATACCAAGTTTCTGATCTCTAGTTGTCCTGTCGTGGTCTAGGTTGGAGTTCAAACTTCACATGTCCAAATGCTGCCAACTGGTTCTCGTTTTTTTTCTTGGGAGACTTATGACGAAGATATTTCTTCACTAGGGGCTAGTTCAAGGATGACAGCTCTTGGATTCATGGAGCAGATAAACGTCACTAGAGACACCACTGACTATCTGTGGTACATCACAAGGTGAGCCAGGTTCAATAGTATCTATTTATATTTTGAATCCCTAAAACCATACAACAACTTCATGGAAACCTAAGCACTTTATTTTTCTCACACATGTTTCTTCAGTTCATTACATGTGTTTGAAATATCTGAGAGCTCCATTTTAAAACCCCCCTGTGGCTTTCAGTGTCAATATCAATCCATCAGAATCATTTCTTCAAGGTGGACAATGGCCTACTCTAACTGTGGAGTCAGCAGGGCATGCTCTTCATGTCTTCATCAATGGGCAGTTTTCAGGTATGTTTTTCAAGATTACTTTCATAATAGTTACTAATAAGAATTTCATTTATCTGGTTGATGAGTGCTTTGCCTGTTACAATTACAGGATCAGCGTTTGGGACCAGAGAGAACAGGGAATTCACCTATACAGGACCAGTCAATCTACGTGCTGGAGCAAATAGAATTGCACTACTCAGCATAGCTGTTGGATTACCTGTTAGTTCTATTCTACTTCTCCAACTTACTGCAAGTATAAATGCTAATTAATTTGATCTGATTGTGGGTACTAAAATTTTAAAACTTATACTAAGAAAAAGGAAAAAAAATCCGTTATATTATTCCACTTACTGACTACAAAACTTTTGCATTGTTTAAGAATGTCGGGGTACATTATGAGACATGGAAAACAGGAATACTTGGTCCAGTTATGCTGCGTGGCCTTAACCAGGGAAATAAAGACTTGACATGGCAGCAATGGTCTTACCAGGTATGAAATGTGCCTGTTCGTATCTATTTAATTGTGTCTTATAGTTGGCAGAAGTTTAAGCTTGAAGGTATTGGGTCAAAACAGGTTGGTCTAAAAGGAGAGGCAATGCATATAGTCTCTCCAAACGGAGCCTCATCTGTTGATTGGATACAGGGGTCTCTAGCTACCAGGCAGCAACCTCTGAAGTGGTACAAGGTAATTATAAGTAGGAAAATGTTGAATGTGATTAGCAATTTTACTTAAGAGACTGATTGTCATGCTGGGATGTTCAGGCTTATTTTGATGCCCCCGGAGGAAATGAGCCATTGGCTTTGGACATGCGCAGCATGGGAAAGGGTCAGGTGTGGATAAATGGGCAGAGCATAGGAAGATATTGGTTATCTTATGCAAAGGGTGACTGCAGTAGTTGTAGTTACTCTGGAACGTTCAGGCCTCCAAAGTGCCAACTAGGATGTGGCCGACCAACTCAGCGATGGTATCTTTTCTTGAATGCATTTTTTTTAATTATTGATTGCAGCTTAATCTTCAGAACTGAGCTGTAGAGTGTAATTACTGCATCTCACAGCTAACTGAACTTATGCTTGTCAGGTATCATGTTCCAAGGTCCTGGTTAAAGCCAAAGCAAAATTTATTGGTAATATTTGAAGAACTTGGAGGTGATGCATCAAAGATATCCCTTGTTAAGAGATCAACGACAAGTGTTTGTGCTGATGCATTCGAGCACCACCCAGCAATTGAGAATTACAATAACGAGAGCAATGGTGAATCAGAAAGAAATCTTCACCAAGCCAAGGTTCACCTCCAGTGTGCACCAGGGCAGTCTATATCAGCTATAAAATTTGCAAGTTTTGGCACTCCTACTGGAACCTGTGGAAGTTTTCAGGAGGGAGCTTGCCATTCACCAAACTCACATTCGGTTGTAGAGAAGGTAGATTTCCTTGGTAGAATCCTTTTATCATTTTATACATCTTCATATCTTATTTCATTTTCCTTTTGTTTTATCATAATTTCACTACCTGTCACTAATAAAAATACCTTTTCTACTGGCTTAATGCTTGTATCATTGAACTCTGCAGAAATGCATAGGAAGGGAGAGTTGTATGGTCACCATATCCAACAGTAACTTCGGTGCTGACCCATGTCCAAGTAAGTTGAAGAAATTATCAGTTGAAGCAGTTTGTTCAACAGTGAGTGACACTACTCAACCCAATACAAGGAGGTAACAACTCAAGCAAATTTTCAGATCTAATTATAATTATTTGCTCACGCTGGCAAGCTATGAAGGAAGAACAATAAGGTATTGAGCCAGAGATCCTAATGTCAGCTGTCATCTCTACATATTCTACAACGTATGCGTAGTTATGTATTGCAATTTACAATGCGTAGTTGTGTGGAGTTGATATTCCCATTAGCTTTCGGATGGACAATGTGCTTGTGCATAGCACAAATGTTGGCCTGGCATATGCCCTAAATTCCCATGCCCATGGCCCCTTTATCCAGAGATGGGCTTCGAAAATAATTTTTGCACAGCGAAGTATAAATGATTATTATTTGATAGAATGGGAAAGAATTGTTGAGGTGAAGAATATCGGTGAGTATGGGCACTATAATGTCTGATTCTTATGTAAGAACACGGATTATAAATTCGAAGTCTACAATTTATCTAATTGCTCTTGTTTGCACCTTCTGTGGATGATCCGTGATAGTCAACATCAACATATCGGCATTCTGCATGTCCTTCGCTATCATTTAGGGAATTGAAACCTGGATATGAAGAATGCAATCAACAATCGGCAGTTGCATACTTTTGCTTTGAAATAATATTTTTATTTATTTTTTAAAACATTTATTTTTAACATGAGTATCATTAAAAAATTAATTAGAAACAAAAAAAATTGAAAATTTTCAAAAATATTTTTTAAACTTAAAATCAAATATTCTAAGGTTTTTCTTTTTACAAAAATTCTTTCACTATTCTTGAGAACCTTATCAGACCTGTTAGTGGTTGAGCTACATGTGGGACTATGGGTGTTAGTACCATAGCATCTTTGTCGACGCTGTTTGCTTTCTTCTTCCAAAATCATCATCAGCAGTGTCATGTATATGCTCCTTCCTTTCGGCAAACATGCGAGCCCCAGTTTAGGTTTTTGCTTATTGGCTCTACCTGGCAGAGTACTTGCTATCATAGGACTATAATTTTCCAGCAAAATGCATCGGCATAAACATGATTTTTGGAAGTAAACTAGAAGCCATGGCCAAGACTGCCAGTGATATTGCTGCTATATATTAATTTATTGGATGGTAGTATCAAGAACCAGGATATTTGGTTAGAATTTCTTCTTTGATGAGTTGGTTTACTCCAGCTACTTAAAATACTAGCAGGATCGACAATATACGTTGTTAAAAGTGCACATCAAGTACTATGGGCAACCCCAAAGCAGAACAAACACAGATCCAAATCAGAAGCTGCAAGCAAATTACTGGTCTTCCTCGTCATACCTAAATCCTATGTTGTCGAAGAAACCTCTCGAACAGAAGGAAGTCAAAAGGCAATGGGAATTTAGATTTGCTATGAAGCTTAGAGAATGAACTGCGCAAATTTCCCCTTGCAGGATTTCCACAATGTTTGAGATGTCGAGGAATTTGCCATGCTGTGTAAGGATAAAACAAACCATGACTATTCTCCGTCAATAAAAATAATGCCATCACTATCACATCCCCGGCATACAATTTGACGAACAAGAGCAACAGAATTCATTGCATTGAAATATAGCCTTTCAAACCTTGATATGTTTGCTGTGATGCTTTTTAAACTGTTTTTAATTAAAATATAATTTTACAAGATCAGTCTGCACCGTATATAAGATCACTACGCCGTAGACAATATTCAAGAAGGTGAGTGAACTCATATTAACCACAAAACATTTCTGATCAACAGAGAGAAACAATTCAGGTAAACACAACAGAGACACATATAATATCCATTAACAAAGAAACTGAAAAATCCACAAGAACTGCAATCAACAGGAAATAATAGAAAGATACCAATATTCGTGTATCATCCATGCATCATGCAGTCTCAATAGCAAGCTTTTCTACAGTTGAGTACAGTTTCATTTTATTGACACCAGTAAATTTCTTCACAATTTCCCCATCTTTCGGGAAATAAAGGTCGGCATCGCCAGCACATCCCACTCCTGAGCAACAGACTGCAAAAGGCATACAGATATCTATTAGAGAACCACGTCGTAGGTCTACTTTGGGTGGGAGATACGCAAGAAATTCAAGACATCTCCTCAACATAAATCTTAACAATAAAGTAAAACACAGGAGTAGGTAATGACGTGGATTCCTTTTGCCTTCAATTCATCCACGTCGACTTTCAAGAATGTGACATTGGGAAGCTTCCAGGCAAACTCTTCCACTTCTGGGGCAACAAGTTTACACGGTCCACACCATGTAAATCCACCGCAATCTATCATAATATGTATCTTGATCGGTAAACTGGAAAATTATTTTGATACTCCCGTCATTTGAGCACAGTAACTCTCAGTAATTTCAAAATTTTCACTTTACACGGTGGATGAACACGTTCAAATTTTGATGAAAACAGTAAAATATCCCTGATTTTTTTTACCTTTTCCACTTTCTTTTTTCCCCTCTCCCCCCCCTTCTCCTTCTGCTTCTTTCTCTTTCTCCTCCCCCTCTCCTCTCTTTTTATAACAATCATCCCTTTTCTCTCTAATTCATCCCCTCTCTCTTCAAAACAAGATCTGACAATCCAAAAAATATAGTTTTCTTAATTTGTAACGACAACCATGCATGATAGTGAGTTTGGTTAAAAGGTGATTTGAATTAATGGTGATTTTAATGGCGGTGATCACTGAGTTAGAATTGAAGAGGGAAACTAGTGGGTCGGGTCTTGTGATGATTTGAGAGGAAATGGTAGCAAATTTAGTACACGGTGGTTGAAAATTGATGGCTTTGTGCTTGAGATTGGTTTTGTGATGACTGACTCTGATGGTTTTTAAATTATGTTTGGATTTGTTTTTTAAAGTGTGTTTTATTTATAAATATATTAAAATAATATTTTTTATTTTTAAAAAAATATTTTTAATATCAACATATTAACATAATTTAAAATTTTAAAAATAATTAAATTAAATTTATTTTTTAAAATATTTTAAATAAAATATAGTTCATATCACATTTTTAAACATTATTATAATGAATTATGTTGATATATTCAAATGATTTTTCCCTTACGATAGCTTGCAGATGATTTTGAAACTAATTGTAACTGTACTTTGGAGATCGCGGGTTATAAGTAATGTTAGCGAGAATTAGGAGAAACATAAATTATAAGAATATTTTAAACCTAGAATCAATTATAATGGTATTTTTGTAATTTTTTTTAACTTTTCAGTTAACTGGCAGCCATGTTGTAAACCTTAAATCGACTGGACTGTTGGTCATTATGTTTTAAAACGTTTTTAAAATGTATTTATCATGAAAAAAAATATTATATTAATATTAAAAAAATTTAAAATATATATTTTTAAATAAATTTTTTTTTTTTAAATTACTCCTAATAGTATTACCACACAAACGAAGATAAAAGGCGTGTCCTCTTGGTGAAGCTAATGAAAACATAAACGTATCAAATTAGCCATGTGAGGCCCATAGACATTATGCGAAGAAATCCTATTCTACAGAAACATAATTAAAAACGCAAAAAAACTTGGGATTAAGGAGCTTCTAATATTCTTTAGAGATGATGCTAAGGCAGTTAAGAACCAACCAAAAAGAATTAATAAATTAATTAAAATTGTGAAAATATACTGTAGAGAGAGAGAGAGAGAGTATTCATGAAGATTAATCATAGAAAAAATCACATGACAAAAACCCAAATATAAAGAACCAAACACAAAACATGAGAAGACACAAAAAGACTTAAAAACGATACCTGTTTGTCAGACCCTTTTTCCTTATCAAGCTGTTGGTTCCAAGATTCCTCGAGGTGTGGCTAATAGATTCAAATAAAATGAATCAAACCCTCCAAAATAGCCCCAAAACTTCTATGGCTTATTTTAGCCTAACACTCATCATAAATTTTTTCTAAAACTACACGCAAATTTTTAAGTATTTTATACTGATTTAATATATATTATTTTAAATAGAATAAACTTAAAATATTATAAAAATAAAATTATAATTCAACCTTGTATCTTCACAAAAAAAACAAAATTAATGAGTTATAACTTATAAATATACCTTGATTCTTTTAAACCAAAGGTTTACAATCTCTCTCTATATATATTTTCAGATTTTAATTCTTTAAAATATTATTACATTTTTTCTTTCTATAAAGTTATTGACTATACCATCGGAGAGTTCTATATCCATTAAAAAATATTTTTTACATATATTAACTATTAGTTATCTGGCTTGCCAGACACCAATTGTTACTACCATAATTATCAGTTACCTAATTTACCACGCATCACATGCTATAACTAGAGTTACTGGTCACATAACTTACCAGACATATTTTGCTATTATCGGTTACCTGATTTACCACGCATCACATGCTATAACTAGAGTTACTGGTTACATAACTTACCAGACATATTTTGCTATCACCACAACTATTGGTCACCTAACTTACTAGGTATTGCCTACTACTATAATATATATTTGTCACTTGACCTACCAAAAATCACTTGCTACCGGTTGTCAACTTTTTAGGCTTTTCATATTAAATCACTAAATATTTTGACTATGGAGAATGAATAAGATTATTTGAATTTAAAGATCAACTAATTATCCAACACACCAATCTTATCCTAGGCATCTTGGATTTTAAGACTCATCAACTAGCATCGCTTATACAAAACTAATAAAAAGTCCATAGGTTTTTAAAATTTGTTTTTGATATTTTCATGTCATTCTATGGCTCATAACCAAAACTTTCCTAGATCAGGATGCAAGACAAATTCATACGTGATTATTTTTCATTTGGTTTTTACCTAAAAATAACCAAACTGAATTTTAAAAAAAAACCAAAATTGGTTTTGATTCAATTATTTTAGGGCAGAAACCAAAACCCAACCGGTTTATTTGCAGTTCAGTTCAGTTATTTTATATTAAAAATAAAAAAAATATATTGTTTTTTAAGGTTTTTTTTTTAATTTTTAATGGGTCTAGTTTCAGTTTGGCTCAATTTTTTTTTGTTTAACTCGGTTTTGTAGGCTCGATTTTTTAAGGTTTTTTTTTATTTTTAATGGGTCTAGTTTCGGTTTGGCTCGATTTTTTTTATTTAACTCGGTTTTGTAGGCTCGATTTTTTTATGTGGCTCGCTCTGCTCGACTTGATTTTTTCAGTTTCAAACTTATTAAAATGATACTAAACTGATTGGTTTTTTAAATATTATAATCTATTTTTTTCACGGTTCAGTTTTTTTGGTTTTTTATTTTCTTGATTTAATCAATTTTTTTTATTTTTTTGCTCACCCCAAAACTAATCTACCCAGCTAGAACTTCAACAATTTATCAATTAGGTGCAACTCCTCACTCAAATCGCGGTGGCAACCAAAGGTCAAAATCAAATATTATCACCCTAGCAAGTCTTGGCAATTGTGGTAACACATTTGACCCCTTATTATTGCCACTGGTTGCTTCCAAC